AACATCATGGGTATCATACCACGTCTCATCCAGGTAAATCAGATTTATTTTCTGCTCTCTATAGATTTTAACTTTGTGCAAAAATTCTTGGCGCAATTCAACGATTCGAGACGACTCCATAATCACCATTCTTTTATCTAATTTTTTGTATTGAAAACCACACAGTTTTACAATACAGTTCAGTGAGTCTAAGCATTTGTAATTATAAAAATCTTCAGGATAATCTTTTAATTTATCCCGTATCATTTCCAACATGGGCACCAAATTTTCTTTATAAAATCCGTATATTATACGACGAATATCTTCCTGAAATCCCACGTCTATTCTTTTTAATTTTTGCCCTATGCGCTTTCTGTGGAAGGAATGGTTGACTACATCTCCCCTTTTTATAACCCGATAAATGGTAGACCGACTGATTTTTGTCAGGATACAAATTCTGTTTAAAATTTGATTTTGCGAGGAATCTGGATTTTCGTTTTTCAGACAATCATACATATTTAGGATTACTCTTTGGGTCTGTTCCTCTAAATCTTTATGAAAGAATTCTGCCTGCACGGGTTCATCAACCATCTCCTCGTGGCTTGGAGCATTTTCCCAAGGTCTCCAAAGAGCCATATTTAGGACACACAAGAACAATCAACACAGCAATTAAATGAACAAGTAAACTGAGTATTCAAAAGTCAAAAACACACAAACTAATAAAATCTATGAAAAAACACGGATAGACTAAAGAAAACACGTTTATTCACCGCTACACGGCACTGGCTAAACTGTTTCAATTTTCAGTAGCCACCTGCACTTGTTTAGAGCTCTGAAATACACGCTTTCTCATTGGCTATGTCCACGCATAGGCGTGCTTTACTCCACGTGGACCGGTGAAACTGCCTTTGATCTTATACGGGGGATATTTGCTGCGAAATTTGGCGATTTTTGCAGCAACAGAGCGTGTTAAATATAGATATATAAAACGCACCCGGTATTTCACAGTGTTTCAAGTGACTTCAGATAAAGTATAAGTAGTGTACTCGTATGTTGTATCTGTGGGACAAATATTGGTTAACCTTAACCAATTGAGCTGAAATTTTCTGAACACGTTTGACGATTTGAGTAAAGACATTTTAAATTCAAGATGTACAAAATGGCGATTTATGATTTTTATAGTAACATCTATGATATCGGTATATACAGGGTGACTTCGAAGTTGAGTCATTTATTTTAACAGTGAGTAGATCTGATCAAAAGAAATGTTTTTTCCTTTACCATTTTTCTGGTAAAATTAAAGTAACAAAGTTATAACCCTTTGGAAGTTTGAGTACCGCCCTGTCTCAATAATAATAGTATGTGCTCGTGTTTGGCAACAACGGATATAATCCGCCTTAACGGTTCATCGCATCGGAAACAAAAAAGTGAAAGAATTTGGAACGATGTTTTTACAATTAATTTATTCAGTTGTATACAGTCAGTGTCAGTCGGTAACGCGTGAGTGAATAGTGGTGTCTGTTGCGTGGCTCAAACGAAATCAAAAATGTCACATGTTTACGAAAATGCTGAACTTGTGGACATGATTCTTATTTATCACGGATTTATGCGGATCGGTTTCCCAATCGAGTGCAACCAACCCCTCGTGCCTTTGTTAATGTAGTACAAAGGGCTCGTGAATCAGGCGACTTAAGACCTCACAGGGGACGGCATGCCGGTGCTCCAAGACCGCACGATCAAATACAGGTCCGCACTGAAATACTTGTCGGGAGGATACTTTATACAACAAGGTAACATTTTCTTTTAATTTTTTTTTATTTTTACACACATATTCACCCTGTATATATTAATAAGGTACTACAGTTTACATTTTTCGTAGTTGGGTATCAAATGAAAGGCATTGAAGAGAGAAACACAATGAGAATAGTGGCGTCACTCTAAATCTATGGCTGCTGCAAATGGTGATTAATCATTACATGTTGATGTCTATAAGATTTTAAATTATGAATATACCATATGATATGGGTATCAAACGAAAGGGCTTGATGAGGGAAACAATAACCAAAGTGTCGTTATTCTAAATCCAATATGGCGGCCGCCGCTGAATGGAGATTTATAGTTTCTATGTTCACCGCTATAATATGGGTATCAAATGAAAGTGCTTAAAAGAGAAACACAATAAGTAAATAACTTTATTCTAAATTACATACAGCGATCGCCTCAAAATAGTTTTTTATAATAATTTTTATAGAAATAAACACTTAATAATAAATCGATAAAATACATATAAAATAAGAAGTTTTATGAAGTACTATTGATAAAATATATGAAAATTATGCAGAAATTACCAAACTAGCTACTTGACATCATGCACACTAAAAAGTAAAAAATAAATAAAATAAAAAATACAAGCTTTCATTTAGTTATTAATGAAATAAACCAAAAACTAAAAATTACTGTTCCGATTGGAAATATTTGAACGATGATAAAGCTCCTTCATCTCAAGTTTTTAAATAAAAGCATGTTAAGATTTGACAGCAAGATGGAAATTGGGTGAAACACGCTTTCATTTTAAAAATGTATTTTTTGTTTTATTTATTGTATAATCGTTTCATTGTATTGAATTCAACTTTCGATAACAGGCGCTTCACTGATGGGTCTTTATTTGAAAGAAACTCAGAAATTTCAATATATGTAAATAATGTTAATCCTTTCGGGTACAACAAATCTATGAATTTTTATTGCAAAGTATGTATGTATGTATGTTTACATAAGAATAGATTGGGGTACTGTGAAGTCCTTAGCATTTTGTTGTACGTTTGGGATTTTTCATCGTAATTGTCTGACACTTAATAAATGGCGTGTGCTATCTAGCACCTTCCAGATATGTAAGTTGAAACATAAATAATTGTATGCATTCCAGAGCACTTTTAAAAACGTGTCTGCTTGTTATCGAGCTTTTACCGTTTAGAAAACCAGCTGGATTCCGCAAAATCAATCCTGGTTCGAATCTGCGTAACTGCTGAGCTTGCATTATCTGCCTGCAGGGGGTGTCCCCACGGCACCGTTGCCGACCCAGACCAATTATTGCTTCATTTTTATGGACTATTTATGAATGTTGTTTCGCTTGATTGACCTGTAGGTAGCATGATCCTGTTGCAAAATCGCGTGCTAAACTATTTTTTTAGAAACGATCCGTACTTGCAGTCATGAACGCATAAATCTTCTGGATGGAAGAACTACATTCTATCAGAACTGCAATTAATGTTGACGTCAACAAGACATTTTAGTTTGAAAGGTATAAATAGGTTAAATTCTATTAAAGCTTGGAAAAACTTCACAAAAGTATACAGTTTCCCAAAAAATGTGGACAACAATATATCATTAATGTAGAAAAAGAGAAATGGCGGTGGCCACGAGAATACTGGAAAATAGGTCGAAAAAGGGTTTCCTTGAATTTTTTAATCACGCTGTATATTCCGATAATCTTTCAACAAGGTTACAATTTAAGGCTTTATCATTGTAGCCATGCTTTTTGCTTGTTTCAACATTTTCTTTTAATTAATGTAAATGGTGTGCCTCGTAAACCTTCGATCATCGAACTTTATATGCCTATCTCGGTACCGTCACATTGTGAAGGTGCCATAAATCTTGGAGTATTGTAATCCCGAAAGACTTCGAAAATTATTATGTATTTTTTAGGTGTTAATTGACATGTTCAGTCTGCGAAAACCAAAAGTTTGCCACTCTAGGCGTAACAGACAAGGTTAAAAATCGCTTTGAAATAGTCTAATCATATTAGCAAATTTCCCTGAAATAATTGTAAAGTCTGGTTTTATTAGTGCACGTTGCTCACGGGGGTATTTAAAATATGGACGCATAAAATGGGTATACCAATTTTTGGGGGAAAGCTTTTTATTTGACAACAAAGAGAAAAAGTGTTTTTTGGGATTCAATCCAAAGTGTTGACAGAAACGAAAAGAATTTTCCTGTGAGATTTTTAGGTATTTATGAGACCTATAAAATGAGACCACACGTAAAAAGATCCGACTAATAGCAAAAATGTTGTGGCCGAAAAACGAGGCTCAATGCAAGTTTTGGCACTTGTTGGTAATGCGACGATCATTTCATGCAACCACCTGAAATTCTTAAGATCCGTAGGATTCATACTTACAAATAACAACAACAAAATTAGATTATACTAGTCAAGTAGTTGTTTTAGAATTTCCCAAAACACCTGTTTTCCGGAAACACTACTAGTGTATACTGAGCAAAATGCAGGATTCGTTCAAAGAGCATTTAATAGCAAAATACACGTGCTTACCTTGTCGATATGAATCACAAACGATTCCGAAAGATAAATGCTATTTTTATTAAGGTTACGTTTTTTCTTCTACACAAACTCAAAAGGTATATTCTTTAATTCACCGGTTGAGCTACCGGTGCAACCGGTTAGCCAATTATGCATCCTTTAATTTCCGCTGGAACGACCGGTTGTACATCAACCTTGTCTTTATATTGGTGGTGGATAGAGGCGTATTTTGTAATTCACCGGTTGAGCCACCAAACTATATAGATAAGTTTGGTGTACAACAACTATATAGAGAAGCTTATAGACAAGTTTGGTGTACAACTGGTCGCTCAGACGGAAATTAAAAGAAGAAAAATTGCTTAATTGCTTGCACCGGCGGTGGCTCAACCCAAGCTCAACCGGTGAATTAAAGAATACGCCTTATGACACCGGTGCCAACAACATCCACCGACGTTCGGGCTCGGTTGATTGGGTTGATCCACGATATTCTAATCTCTACATTTTATATTTTTTTAAAGATTTAAGTTATGCTACAGGCTTCAAATTTAATGTTTTTCTAACACAATTCGAAATAAACAGAGCATCTGAAGGCAAGAGATTTTATTTTGAATTATGTCTTGGTTTTCTGGTTCAGAGTTCTTTTATTGATTCTCAGAACGCAAACTCTTCTGATAACTTCATTTGAAAAAGTATTTTCTACATGTTCTAGATCAAGCTTTCCTAGAAGAGATTACTGACCACTGCTACAAGAAGTACAAAAAAAGGCCATGGATGATACATTTGAGGGCAATGAAACTCACACTGGTATGTATTTATTGTAGGCAGGCAACATAGTAAAATAACGTGTATTGATTGCTTTGGTTGGCGAAAAAGCAAATTCTGTTTAATACAATATCAAAATCACAAAATATGCAAGCAAACTCTTGAAATTTGTCAGTAATATGAATTATTGTTTTTATGTTGAAATAATCTCAAAGTAATAAAGAAAACCTACATTACTGGACTAGTGGTGCAGTGAAATTATTATTGGACTTGCAACTAGGAAAAGTGGAGGAGTTCAATAAGCCAGTCTGTATAAAAATGAAACTGTGGAAACAAATAGCTGACGAAATGAACAAAATTGGCAAATTGACTGCTAAGGAAAATATCGGAATTTGCTTCAAACCTACAGACAAAATAAAGAAATAAGACTAAACAGAACAGGTGAATCACAAATCACGTGGGAATTCTTTGAAATAATGGATAGGGTGTTGGGTAATAAAGCCTCCAGTATGCCTCTAGCATAGAGCCTACGCTCATCCATCAACGAAAGTACGATATCAGAAGACATAGATTCCTCAGAAGACGCAAAACAGGGTACGAACAAAGGTATTCCCAAAAAAAACAGTTTTCATTACAAGAATATCTTTTTTTAAAAAACGAAAGAGAGAAAGAGATATGGACAGAAAAAAGTTTTAAAAGAGAAAGAAATAGAAATTGTCAACAATTTAGCAGATGCTATTAGAAGTTCTGCACATTCCAAATGAAGTGATGCATACCTAGTTGTATAATTCCTAATAGTTTTATGTTTGAGGTAAATATTTTTTAGTTTTTCACTTACCTGCCTCAGAGTTCCTGTTTATTTGGTTTTGATATATTGTGAATCCTTTTTTATCTTTGTTTTTTTAGTTACCAAGACTAATGCAGTTTTTTATACTCCAACTACCACGAAGGCCTAAGGCCTATACACCCATGGGGTACCGTGGGACTATATGGGGATACGTGTGCATGCAGCATGCACACACTCTGGACCCGCCTACGGGATTCGAACCCGCACAGCGCACGGCGACTGATCAGAAGACCGAAGAGTCTTCCGCTGCTGCCTGAATGAATAATTTCTTTTATTTGTTGAGTTCCTCATTTTACCAGTACGCACAGCAAAAGTTGGCTTGGCGGAAGAATGCTGACAAAAAAATTGTCGAAGGATTTTGCAGATCACACAATATACTTTACTCAGTAACCTGCAAAATCCTTCAAAAATTTTTGCATTGAATTTGTAGTAAAGATATTCCTTCAGGTACATATTAAATACTTATGTGTGTTGAATATTTTATTTCCATATACAGGGTGACTTTGAAGTTGAGTCATTAATTTTCAGATAATGATTGTAGAAGGAAGATAAACCAAAATATGTGTGTAAAAATAAAAAAAAAATGAAAAAAAATTTGTTACCTTGTTTTATAAAGTATCCTCCCGACAAGTATTTCAGTGCGGACCTGTATTTGATCGTGAGGTCCCCTGTGAGGTCTTAAGTCACCTGATTCACGAGCCCGTTGTACTACATTAACAAAGGCACGAGGGGTTGGTTGCACTCGATTGGGAAACCGAAACGCATAAACATGTGCCATTTTTTATTTCGTTTGAGCCACGCAACAGACACTATTCACACGCGACTGACACTAACTGTATGTATAACTGAACTGAATAAAATAAACATCGTTCCAAATTCTTTCGCTTTTTTGTTTCCGATGCGATGAACCGATAAGGTGGATTATATCCGTTGTTGCCAAACACGAGTACATGATATTATTGAGACAGGGCGGTACTCAAACTTCCAAAGGGCTATAACTTTGTTACTTTAATTTTACCAGAAAAATGGTAAAGGAAAAAAACATTTCTTTTGATCAGATCTACTCACTGTTAAAATAAATGACTCAACTTCGAAGTCACCCTGTATATGACATCGAAAAGAGTTCCAAAAACAAATGTGCATTTTACAGAAATTTGCTATATTTATCAAATCTATATATTTAAGTTTACGAAAAACTCCTTTAAGTAGACAAATTGCATTTTCCACAACGACTCTTGCACTACATAATCTTTTATTGAATCTTTTTTGGGCATTGCTTAAATGACCATTATCTTTGAATGGCACCAACAAATGGTTTTTGAGCGGGTATGCTGAATCACCAAGCAGATGGTATTTATCAGGAGTCAAACCTTCATTTTCAATTCTGTGATGGATTGGTGACTTTGTTCACATCCTGGCATCATGTGATGATCCCGGGCATCCACAAATCACATAAATTCTTTTTTACTGTTGCAAATAACTTGCAGAAGCATTGAGTGCCTAGAAGCCCTTTCTGTTATAATATGAGTGGTCTTCTACACCTTTGATAGCTATATGGCTACCATTTATACACCCTATCACATTGGGAAAAAAATTTTGGCCACGCAAAGTATTGAAATCCTCCACAGTTTTAACTATGTCTGCACCTGTTGGCCACTTGATATATTTATCTTGGAGAAGACATATTAATTTGCACGTTCTCAGAAAAATGGCGTGAGCATTCCCAGGACTCACTCCATATCTTGATTAGCCAAGGTTGAAAGGCCTAATAGAACACAGGGTAACAGCTTGCTAGCTGGCCTCCCAACAGTGTGAATCTCCTTTTTGGTTTCCAATTCTGAACAAAACTCGTGATAATAAACGAATGACAGAGTTAAGTTCTCGATTTGTTAAAATAGATCGAGTATTGAAGATACTACAACTTGGATCCTTGTGAGCCGAAAATGTGATTTAAAGTCACTCAAAGTGTAACTGTTGACTACTGCATCTACATACTGTTCAATTTTGGTATGAGCTGCTCTTTCTCTCCACTGGATAAGTTCTTCATCCGAATCATCACTCGACTCGCTTAACAGACGTTCCACCACAATACCAACTGCTGCGTAAATTATTCAAGGAAACCGGTTGCTGACCTCACCATATCAGCTGTCAACCATAAGTTCACTGGATCCATCAGTAATGGAATCAATCGGTGAAGTAAAGAATATACCTAAACATTCCGTATTTCTTACTAATTGAACACATTTTAGAATAAAGCGGATGTGTCTATCATCTTTTGTTGCGAAATACTCACAAATACGAAATGTTTGAATTTGTTTAGAAGAAAAAACGTAGCCCATCCCTTTTTGCATAAAAATAACATTTATCTTCCGGAATGGTTTGCGATTCATCTCATCAAGGTAAGCTAGTGTATTTTGCTATAAAATGCCCTTTGAACTAACCCTGTATATTGCTCCGTAAACTAGTAGTGATGGCGGGAAAACAGGTGTTTTTGAGATAAGCAATTAGATATTCTCAAAAACTACTTAACCAGTCTACTCCAATTTTGTTGTGGTTATTCATCGTCGCATTACCAACAAGTGCCAAAACCTGCAGTTTACCTCGGTTTTCGGCCATCACTTTTTTGCTATTAGTCCGATCTTTTTACGTGTGGTCTCATAGATAAGTAAAAATCTTATATGAAGAGTTTTATCGTTCCTGCCAACACTTTCGATTGAATCCCAAAAAACACGTTTTCTCATTATTTGTCGTCGAATAAAAAGTTTTCCCACAAAAATGGATGTACCCATTTTATACGTCCATGTTTTGAATACCCCCTTGAACAACTTGCCGCAAGAAAACCAAACTTTACAATAATTATTTCGCAAACACTAAAAGTAATCGTCTACCACTCAATCTAGAGCTAGCGGTTAACATTTTTAATCAAAAAGTGGTCAAGAGAAGTTGCTGGAAATTGCTTCCAGATTCCTAGAATGGCCGCTGGGGGCATAACTCTAGCCCCAAGATTAGAAATGCCGTTACTGAAAAAATGCACAGTTAACATATACATGAAGTGGCTTCAATCGGTAGTGTTCGTGTTTTGCAACCTTTTTTCTTGACCTGATTGTCGATTATTATGAGGAGGAGGACGGGTTCAAGGTCATTTCAGAAACAGCAGTGTAACTTCCGATTGGCATTATTGATTTCCATGGTTTAATAGAGCTTTGATGCGTGCTTATAAAGGCAATTAAGTTTTGTTGTTTTGTTAGTCCAGTTCGTTTTTCATCCGTCAGGTGGCGCTCAATGACAAAACCTTCGTTAATGTGTTTTTTTTCGAATTGTTCAAATTCAGCGTACTATTTTTCATCACGCAAAAAGTGCATGAAATATCCAACAAACTGCTGAAAACCACATGTTGATATCCTCATCTTTTTTTAAGTTGTGACTGAAAATAGTTCGAAAGCTGCGGAGTGGCGGAGTGGGAAATACAGGGTTAACTGCAGCTGCACGCACCAAACTTCATCGACAAAATGTTCATAGTTCGACTTGTTTTCTTTGGAATTTTCTCTTCAAAAATAAAAATATCGACCGCGCTCGAGAATATCAAGGTTTTTTTGCAACGTTTGTACGTCCCAGTCAAATCACCAGATAATCAAAATACATACTTTTTAACATCTGACTTAGTCTGACGAGTTATATTATTCCTATAGATATCGATTTTTCTTACTACTCTGATCGGCTGCCTTAGACGTACCCCTCACTGTATAAAGGGATTATATCTATATGGCAGAGGTACTCAACGCGATACATGGTATCCCATCTTTATATGTTAATCCCCTTAAGAGTCAATTGAAACATGAACCAAGTATACAATTTCCATATTTCCATAGGCTGATGGCAATAATTGGCATAACGAATTTCGCCCGAGCTCTGAAACAGATTTTGATAGTTTTATCTAAGTAGAAAGCATAAATAATTAATTCATTAAGATTTATCTTTTATCTATACGCGAATTGCTGGTAATTTACAATGAGCGCGCATGCACACACGCAACGAAACTTGTATCAAGTAAAGTCATCTCGCTAGATACCAGATAAGGATTTTAGATTACGGTATGTGACGCTTCCCAATGATGGTATCATGCATAAATGCATTACGGCCTTAACATGGACACTTCATAAATATACTCTGGTGTGTGTATGAGAGACCGTTAGGCGATTCTTACAACTTTTTTTGAGTTGACCTTATGGGCGGTGTGGTCATCTTGGAGGTCAAATGGGTTTGAGCGGAACGAAGAGTCATATTGCATAAAGACAGCGATAAAGCTATCCTTTATGTTGCACAATAAAGTTCTGTATTAGGATTCAAGTTGTTATTGAGGAAGATAAGACTCTTTGATTTAAATATACGCTATAAAGGTCAGAGTATACAGGGCGTCCCACGTAGAAACGCAGCGATCATCCACTCAAAAAGTTGACATTAGATAATTATGAAAACTTGAAGTATGCTTGATGATGTACGATGGTGCACTTGCGCATTTCAGTGTAGCGGTTCGTAATTATTTACAAACTATTTAT